AACAATTTTCAAAGCTAGGAAACTATCATTAAAAGATCCTTTATCAAGTTAGTGCTGTGCAACGTCTCTCTGCTCATGTTCCTCTTCGTCATCATTGCCAAGCTCTTCCTCATCGCTCGTGCTGCTGCTTGAGTCTCTTTCGTAGTTTTCAGTCATAGCATACTCTTCAGGGTACATGGTACGCTTCCTGCGGCGTTGCTGAAATGGTTTCCTTGCAAGAGCTGTGCAATGTATGCCGCATCTCGATCAAAAAGAGTAGTATAGGAGGCACTGGTTAGTCCCCTTTTTTGCGCAGGAATCTCATTAGCGTGCGTAGGAATACATTAAGTAGGTGACGTCATAGGCTATTGTCTTGATCTCATGAATAAAATGCAAATTTTTTTTACCCCGTTTCCCTCCACCACCACCACCAACGCCAGATTTCTATTGTTTTCCCACCACCACCACCGCCACATTTCTATTGTTTTCCCACCACCACCACCGCCACCACATTTCTATTTTCCCTCCAACACCACCACCGCCACATTTCTATAGTTTTCCCTCCACCAGTCGTGTTTCTCTCGTATGGTGGTCGTATTTAGTCGTTTTTCTTCGTATTACTTCGTTATTTAATGAATTAAAAAGAGAAGAAGAAACAAAATAAATCTAAAGTAGGGGTCGAACTTGCGACCTCCGGATCTGACATACCTTGTACACGTGATCTCAGCTAGACTACCGCGGCTCACGTGTCAATGTGCAAAGAAATTTAAGTATAGAAAGCTAAGGATTGACGTCATAAGTCATTTCGCAATGCTTAGAAACGTAGCTGTCACGTAGCGTTTGCAATGAAAATAGTTCATCGAATAGTTTGTGTGGATTTCATCGACCCCTCATCGACCCCACATCGACCCTACATCGACCCCATATCGACCCCACATCGACCCCACATCGACCCCACATAGACCTCACATCGACCCTACATCAACCCTACATCGACCCCACATCGACCCTACATCGACCCTACATCGAACCCACATCGACCTAATATTACAACACGATTGACAAGAATGAAAAACAATAGAAATGTGGCGGTGGTGGTGGTGGAGGGAAAACAATAGACATGTGGCGGTGGTGGTAGTGGTGGAGGGAAAACTATAGAAATGTGGCGGTGGTGGTGGTGGAGGGAAAACAATAGAAATGTGGCGGTGGTGGTGGTGGAGGGAGAAGAATGGGGAGGTGGGGGGGGGGGGGGGAGTGTGTGCGGGGGGTGAGGTGGGGGGTGTGGGGGGGGGGAGGACGAGTGGGAGGGTGAGGAGTAGGGTGGGTGGGGAGGCAGACGTGGGTTGTACGGTGTTTAGTGTGGTGCATGCTAGGGGGACGTTGCGATCGAGGAACTGGCAAGTATG